AAAAAAAAAGACAAGGTCTCTCTGTGTAGTTCAGGCTGTCCTGGAACTCTCTCACAGTGATCCTTCTGCCTCTGCTTCCCAAGTGCTGGGATCAAGGCCTGTTCACTATGCCTGGCTAAACTTGGACAGGTGTTTTGTTTGTTTGTTTGTTTTTAAGATAGGGTTTTTCTGTATAACAGCCCTGGCTGTCCTGGAACTATGTAGACCAGACTGACCTCAAAATCACAAAGATCTGCTGGTCTCTTCCTCACAAGCGCTGGGATCAAAGGTGTGTGGTACCACTGCCCGGCGCTTGTGCACTTTCTACTCAACAGCGTTCCCCATACATCTGATAGGAGGGTAGGAGCGCTGATCCAGCCTGATCTAAATTAGGTGCATGTCTGTATTGGTTACTTTTCTATTGCTGTGATAAAACACCACGATCAACACAACTTGTAGAAGAAAGTTTGTTTGGGTTTAAGTTTCCAGAAGAATGAGAGTTCATCACAGCAGGGAATCAAGGCAGCAGGCACAGCAGCAGGAACAGAAAGCAGAGAGCTCACGTCTCAGCCATCCACACCGAGTAGGGACAGCAACTGGAAATGTCGGAAGTCTTTAAAGTCTCAAAGCTTGCCTCATGTGACATACTTTCTCCAAAATGGCCGTACTTCCTAACTCTCCCCAAACAGTGCCAGCAGCTGGGGACCAAGTGGGGCCTATGCAGGATATTCTCACTCAAATCTCAATATACAGCAAGGCAAACTCGACCTTCTAAGTGGACTTTGGGGGAAATCCTGTTTACTGTCTTATGCCTATACATAAATGGGCATGCATAAGATTAAAATCAGTTGCATTATGGGAAAGGACATGCACAGTGAGCAAAGGCTGCCAGTAAACCTACAAGCCCTGGCAACTGCTGAAGCCTGGGAACGCGCCACACACGGCCTGCTGTCACACGCCACACGTATCTGGCCTGCTCTTTGCTGTAAGTAAAGTTTCCTTGCTACTTTTACAAATCCGTGTCTTCATTTCAATTCCCCGAAAAAGGACTAAGAACATGGAAACACCTGGTCCAGACCCCGACCACCAGTAAAACTTGGGATGCTGAGGCAGGAGGACTGTTCAAGAGCTACATAGTGAGATGCTTTAAAAAATGTACATATATATTATTTTCTCCTAAAACAGCTTCCTATGTAGTCAAAGGTGGCTTTGAACTCTTAGTCCTCCTGTCTCTGGGATTACAGTCATGTGCTACTATGTGTGTTTGTGTGTCTGTTAATTTTTTAAAATACAAGATCTTTATTGGTTCTATGCTTTGAAAGTAGCTTCCACAATATTTATTTAATATTTTTATGTGTTTGCATGTTTTGCCTACATGTATGTTTGTGCACCATCTGCCTGGTACTCATGGAGGCCAGAAGAGGGCATCAGATCCCCTGGACTGGAGTTACAGACCATTATGAGCTGCCATGTGGGTGCTGGAAGAGCAGCCAGTGCTCTTAACCAATGAACCATCTCTCCAGCCCTAGTTAATTATTTTTATGTGTAGTCATAATTTTGTGTGGAGATCAGAGCACAAGTTTGTGCATTCATTTCTCTCTTTCCACCTTTATGTGGGTCCTGGAGATTAAACTTGGGTAGGCCAGGCTTGGCAGCAAGTGCTTTATAGACTGAGCCTTCTGGCTGAGCCCAGCTGTCTGAGCCAGTTCGCTGGATTTCTTGTTTTGATCTTTTGAGACAAGGACTTTACACCAGTGATTTATATACGAAGATATTTATAACATAACAAATTTAGAAACAGCCAAGACTGTGATCGATTGCAGACGGTGTGATTCATGAAGGCCCTTGAGTTACTGGAGAATGCCCAGGAAATGACGTTGACTTAGGAGAAAAGATGGGGCCAAGGAGAGAAAGGAACCAGAAAGGAGGGTGGGACCCAAGGATCCCAGAACCAGGGACCAGAGGGAGTAAAGGGGGTGAACCTTTCCGCACGTGGGTGTGGGCCAGACAACCCCAGGACGTCAGTATGCGCAAGCACACAAAATACAGAAAGAACGCAGTGTCCAGGGCCATCCCAATCTCTACCTCCACAGTGCAAGGTTTCTGGGACAAAGTGCTACGGTCCATGAGTCAGGGCTATACCAGCAGGTGGTGACGAACAATGGCCGAGGGCTAAACTTATGATAATGGATGAACCAATGGGCGAGGGCTGGGCCAATCGGTGAGAGGGGAGCTAATGACAAAGGATGTTGCGCAGTTAGGAATGCTTGTCTGAATAATCCAGTTAGCTTCAATGAAGAGGAAAACATTTCCCTCCTCTCAATGGGACATTAAAAAAAAAAAAAAAAAACTTTAAATAAATGTCCCAGCTTCCTCTGCAGGGAGACAGATCAAATACTGCGTCAAGTGAGTGGAAAGACGTCAGTAAACCATACCCGGGATCCCAAATCCAGACTGCTCCATCCCTACTGGCTCCGCCCTCTTCTGGGTAATGAGCCCGCCTCTCGCGCCGATTGATGGAGCGGTCCATTCGCCGTTGCGAAGGTAATATCCGGATAGGCGGAATTTCTCAAAGGAATGGATCGCCCTCATGGCCCTACTGCGCATGCTCGCCCCGTGACCCCAGCTTGAGGTGACGGCGGGAGCCAAGGCGGGGGCCCAAAAGCACTGAGGCTGAGGGACCCGCCACGGCTCCGTCGTCCGAGAGGGCAGGGCCTGCTGCCGTCGGTGAGGACGGGCCCCAGCGGGCGGGAGGGTCCTGGCCTGGCTGTCCAGGGATCCGGGACTGGTGCTAGGGAAGGGTCCCTGGCTCTGCCCCCTTCCTTGCCCGCCATCCGCAAGGCGCTTCCTTTCTCCATGCTTCTCTTCACTAACCCACCCTACCCCTGAACCGAACCTGGACACCGCCAATCTGGAACCCCCCCCACCCAATGCGCACCTACCCCAGTCGGTGTCCATTCTGCGTGGTACACGCCCATCCTTAACATCTGCAGTTTTGTCGCATCTGAACTGGGGGCTCTTGTCCCAATGGGAGAGTTTGAGGGCTGGGAGCTGGGAGATGCTTCAGAGACCGGGGAGGGTGGGAGGGGTCATTGATGGGAGGGGAGCAGGGAGCCTGGGCATTTTAGGCTCAAGATGAGACCTGTTGGGCAAGGGTGGTGGAAGGTACTATTCTGAGTCAAGGCGATTAGCGGAAGGGAGGGAGGTGCCCTTATTTGAGACCCCACATTGGGAAAGCTTTGCTCTGTTCTGCATCTTATTCAATTCTTGGCCTTTTGGGAGGGTCACCGACTTTTTCTTCTGTCTCCCTGTGAGAATATGTCCTGCACATCCCAGTCCAATCACAAGACAGTGGCTATGGGAACAGCTGTTGATATTCTTCACTTGATGCTAGCAAGTCCAGTTACACAGATCAAACCAGCCCTGAGAGGGCCGGTGAGAGGATCTGTTCTTCCATTAGGACATTCATGATTCACCCTCGGATAACAAGTGAAGTTCCAAGCCTCCAGAACCTCATCAGTAAGAGTTTGGACCTTAATTGTTTTATGGCCACCATAACAAATCGTCACCAATTTAGTGACTTAAAAATAACACGTCAATATCTTACATTTTAGAGGCCAGAAGTCTGATGTGGGAGTCAGCAGGGTTGTATTCCTCCTGAGGATTAGGGAAAAACACATCCCATCTCAACCCATGAACCCTGCCTCTTGCTTATCTTTCCTGCTCTTTGTTTCCACTTCCACATTTTTCTTTCTTTCTTGTTTATTTTTAAAGTGTGTTTATGTGTGTGTGCCACATGTTGCAGTGCCTATGGAGGCCAGAAGAGGGCATCAGATCCTGTGAGCTGTACAGGTGGTAATGAACCACTTAATGTGGGTGCTGGGAACCCAATTCTGTCCTCTGGAGCAATCTATCGGGTGCTGTTTCTTCTGTTTGATTGGGGGGGGGGCAGGAGTGTACATATGCCTGTGGCAGTCAGAGGACAACTTGCAGGAGCTGGGTCCATGGTACATGTGGATCCTTGGGGGGAATTCAGGTCTTGAGACTTGCTGGAAAGCACTGTTACCTGCTAAGGCATCTTGATAATGCTTGTTTTGGAGACAGGTTCTCCATAAGTAGGTTTGATCTGAACCCCCAGACCCCTGTGTTAGCCTTCCTACTGCTGGGGACTGGACCTAGACATCACAGGACTCATTATTCTGCATCTCACAGACCTGATGGTGTGCAGATGACTCCTGCTCATTGTATGCTCTTGGGTCTTGGGCCATTTTTGTTCTTCTGGGTCTCCTTAGTTATGACCAAGGTCATGAGAGCTGCTTCCCTTTGCAGTGCTGGGGACTGAGCGTGGACGAGCTCTCAACCCGGCTACACCAACTCTTGCTTCACTTTTTTTGGGGGGTGGGGTGGGGATAATTGTGTGTGTGTGTGTGTGTGTGTGTGTGTGTGTGTGTGTGTGTGTTTGTGTGTGTCTGTGTGTGTTATGTATGTGAGGGTGTACAATGCTTCTGTGCACATGCAGAGGCAAGGGGATGTTGAATGTCTCTCCACCCTCCGCCCCCACCTGCCCACCGTATTCCCTGGAGACAAAGCATCTCATGTCTCACTTGAACCGGAAGCTCACCATTTTGGCTGGGCAGATTGGACAGCCAGCAAGCTCCAGGGATCTGAATGTCTCCACTTCCCAGTGCTGGATTTCAGGCCTGTGTGGCCAGGCCTGGCTTTTACATGGTGCTGGGGACTTGGATTCAGGCCCTCAGGCTTGTGCAGTAAGTGCCCCCCCCCCCCCCGCCCCCAAGTTGGACCATGTGACAGTTTTCCTGCTTCATTCTTCTTAGTGCTGGGAGTTTAGGTGTGAGCCACCACACCTGGCTTCACTTATTTATTTATTTACTTATTTACTTATTCCCTCATTCATTTGTTTGAGACTGGGTCTCAAGTAGCCCAGGTTAGTCTTGAACTCCTGATCCTTCCACCTCAACCTCATATGTGGGAGGTCTGGTCTGAGACTGTTTTTCTCTGAGTAGTAGACTAATAAAAATTACCTTTTGAATAAAAGTATCCTATCTTTTAAAATGTGAAATATGTGCCTACTGCAAAAACAGAAAAGGGAGTTCATGGACTCTACAGATGGAGAGGATGGGGCTGGAGAGATGGACTTTACAGATGGAGAGGGTGGGGCTGGAGAGATGGACTCTACAGATGGAGAGGATGGGGCTGGAGAGATGGACTCTACAGATGGAGAGGATGGGGCTGGAGAGATGGACTCTGCAGATGGAGAGGATGGGGCTGGA